ACAGTCACACTTGACACGCGCGGGGGGAATTCACACGCGACCGTCCGTGGCACTGCTGACCTGCCGGCCGGGGCGCGGCTTTGAAACGTACCACGAAGAGGATGTTGAAGAGGAAGAGCAGGTACTTTATCATTTGCAGACTGAACGGCAGCGAAGACATGGTGGCGGTTGGTGGGCTCGCCCTTGCGGCTGCGCGCGACCAAAAGACGAAACGCACACACGCACACACTTGGGGCTGGAGGGATCACTGGGACAACAACATCCGCGGGGCCGTCGCGCGCGCTCGAGTCGGTCTGGTCTCTTGCTCGCGGCCCTCGCGGTGCGGCACGGCGGCGACACAAGGCGTTAAAGGCGACACAGCTGTCACACGGCTCGCTCCGCGTGGCGTCTCACCTCACTGCGGGCCCGCTGGCTCTCTGCGCCGGGCCCGAACAGCACCGAACAGACGGGGCCGACCGAGCCGAAGCAACGGGCAGAGGCAGCAACAGCGTCAAGGCGAGCAGCGACCGGCGGCCGACCAGCGCTGCACCCTTCCCCGATCCCCCGTGATCCCCCACAGAACCGGCCTTTAGGCCGCTCCGCTCCCCCCTGGTCACTCCGTCTTCTACTGCCCAGCCTCCCACCACTCCAGTCAGAACCCCCCTCCCCATGACTCTGAATCACCTCTGTGCAAAGTAACCTGATTCCTGTACTTTGACGCACCTGTACGGGGAGCTCAGCTGAACAAACGAAGAACATACGCTGCAGGGGAGAGGAGGGGGAAGGGGTGTGATATCGCCTGTGACGGAAATTACTTCATCCAGTAGTCCAGAGAGCATTTGAAAATTCCATAGCACGGTTCTGAGGCATGTGCGAAAAGTTATTTAACACCCCAATTTTTTCTCAAACATTTTTCAAACAACCCTTTGTAACGACAATTTCAAAAACGCGATCAATTTTCCCCGTTGCGTCGCAAGTAAACGTGCCTCGCCCCCTCCTCGTCCTCGGTCTACTGAGACGTGAGCGAGC